GGAGTCTAAATTGAGTCTAAGGATCCCAATTAATTCTCATGGTCAAGCCTTTGCTTCATGGACCACGTCTATGAGCAAACACGTCTAACTTAACCAACAAACTCTAGTCTCCGCCACATCTATCGTGTTTCTATCCATAGTGTCAAGTCTATGATTTCCTATGCCATTCGACAATAAAAAAGGCCATACCATCTCGTTCTTACTACCTAAATTGTGCTTAGTTTGAATTTATTGTATATTGGTTCCTTTATCCATGTTTACTGGTATCTCAGAGCCTAGAACATTTTCTCTACATTCTATGAAGGCGTTGCTATTACATCATAGAGATTATCTATCCTATTATCTCAGAAAATAAGGCCTACAATGTATGGAAGGTATAGGGCGATGAATATTTTTCTTCAAAACGCCATATAAAACTGTAACCAACTGCTCTCTGCCATTCCTCTCAAGTAATTAAGAAGTAACTTTAAAGTTTAATAAAACCGTTGAGGCATGCCATTTTGTAAAAATAAAAATCCTAAAATTGTCGCAGAGAATCAAAATTGAAAGCAAGCATAAGAAATAAAATAAGGAATAAAATTATGGATGAATGAATTTCATTCCCACAATATTTAAGATTGTTTAGTACCCAGGACAGAGATTAAATCGAGTGTGGTCCTAAATAAATCACGAAATTTATGTCACCGCATCCAGCTACATCTAAATTGGTTTCCTAAACTAAGCCAGGTTGTTATAAAATAGAGTATGAGCTAAAGCCAGGGGTATATTGATCCATAATTACACTAATTAGGACGGTAATACTTGATCTAGAGTCCGTATCTGATCAGATGTATGCTACATGCTGAAAGAATCCTCTAAACTCTGGTTTAAAAGGCAGATTCTAGACAATTTTTAAAAAAATTAAATGAACCAGGCCGAACTTCTCATCTGTCAAATCAAAAATCCAGTTTTTTATGGAAATAATTTAAAGGGGTGCCTATCTAGTCAATCGAGTTCATCCCAATGGAGTAAAGCTATGATCTGTATAATTTCGAGCTACTTTAGGAGCACGAATGAAATTCACTTATCATAAAGAAAGTAGATTATGATAAAGATAAGATCATGCTGTAGGTTCCGATAGGTAGAATTAAATAATTCTGTATTTTAGCCCGATAAACGCATCGTTAATATGAAAACTAATTAAAACTAAGTCATACATATTTTCAAAATACGCTAGGATGAAGTTGAAAAAGCAAATACAGATTTAAGGGAATTGCTTGGATAACTATATTAATATATAAAAAACTATTTTTTTAAATATTTTACTTCTAATTTGATAGTATGATCTAGGAAATAAGTAAGAGGTTCAAATTGAACATACAAATGCAAAATATCAAGGAATTCAAGCAATTTATGGAATATCGGTCTAAATGCTTATCTCAATAATAAGTGCTTCAAATAATTGTACAATCAGACTTACTGCCAACTTTATACCTAATTCCTTTGTAGTTAAAACACCTTCCTCGATCTCGATTTCGGCAACGGATGTTGTTCTCCTCTCAGTATGGCATGTGTATTCTTGATTAACATCTGTCACATTCTTAAAAGTTGTAGAGAAAAGTGCTTGTCCTTTTGGATTAAACGATCTTTGGTCTTCAATAAATTCCGGAGGATCGTGAGCAGAAATTATATCGTCCCATATAAATTTTAGTTCAATTTCGTACCGAGATAACATTTTCTTCAGTTCAGAGCTAGCTGTCATAGAAAATACATCAAACGCCCATTTTTCAACAGCTTTCTCTAAATCAAACATATCAGATTCCGGTTCACGCACCATAGTTATAAATAATGAATATTACCTAAATGGCTATCACTTTCTCGAAACCATCCTTTATATAGATAAAGTGTCGGAAGGTGATTCCATTGGCAAAAAATATTTATTCTACAACTTCAAAAAAAACTAATAATACAAATAATAATATTATTTTTATATTAAAAACTTACAATTTATGTATAAAAAACTATTTTGAAAATGAATTGTTTTAGATAGCTATTCTGATTTGTGCACTATTTGGTATGTACTTACCTCGTGTTTTGTCCTTTTTGCGAGCGACATACACAAACGCCTATCATCTTGGTCAAAGGCCTATTCGTAACTCTTGCATTTCTTATAAAAGATCTTTGTACTGTATATCAACGCTGGTACAAGCATTTTCTGACTTCTAGGCCATTGCCTTTACCTAGGAAAAACCCTCCTAACTATGACTTCGATTGTTAGTTCCATACTTATTTTAACCAAGCATAGGCGAAAATGAAACCTTTAAAGTATCCGACGCTAAAGAGGTGCTTCCCGGGGTTGTAGATATTCAAGATTATTCTTTGTAATTATCAATTTTGTTACTTTCCATGTAGACTCAATGAAGAAAGTAAAAAGATATTCACGCATGGATTTAACCCTAGGGTATGCTATTTTAAAGATATTTCAGAGTTTGGATCTCTATTTTCAACTCGATAAAGCTATGCATGAATGCGGTTACAAACACTCAGATAATAGCCTTCCAGCCCAGAGTAATTTATCTTCCTTATGTTACTCTATTTCAGTAATTTTTTATACTTATAAATTGCGATACTTTAAAGAAATTTTGACTCGTCACCCGAGGGTAAAGTTATTACTATTTGAACCTACATGTTTAATTATTTACTTATAATTTGTTGATTCTCCTTCGACTAGACAGAATGGCAGCTTGCGCACGCTTACTGAAATCTACGTCAATAGACGTATTCGCCTACTTCATTTACTTAGAGCTCTTGACAGCATTGAATATGATCGCATTCGTGAGTACCTCGGGATTCGCCAAGTAACACACCCTAACCCATATAGACCTGACCGTGTGTTGTCCGATTTATTCTATAGAAAAAGTCAATTACGTGATGAATTATACAAAGTAAGTTAACTTTATGCATTGTCATACATATAATATGACTTGGCCTTCACCATTTCCTTTGGTCCTGCGCCTCATAGCATATTTAATTAGTGTCTTGATTTTTATACTCTACATGCGCATATAGCCCTATTTGTCATTAATTATATTCATAGGTTTCCATAGTTCTGCATTAGGGTTATTAATTACCGTTCGTTTAAGTATTTGTTAGCCCACCATTACTTTTCTGTCTACATTCCTTTTGAAGACAGCCCACAATTTTTAATGAAATACTCTATGCCTTTATACTCTTCTGACAACTTAACTGTTCTCTTGCCTTGCTACACTCCGCTCACCACCTCCACATCTTGTATCGGATATAATTTTACTAAGTTTTTTTGATTTTCCCCATCTTGTTTTATTTCGCCCTTACATTAATCCCAACACTGAACTTGGACATTTAATCTTATTTTCGTTCAATCCTTCTTTCTTCAGCAACGATTAGCTA